TACGGCAGAATCATCAGCATATCTGCAACAGCCAGGGATACCATACAAAGCCTGGTACTGCCATCCAGATTGGACATTCGGCGAGCAACGATGATGGACAAAGTCCCGCCAAATCCAACTGCCGAAGAATTGAGTAAAATTAATACTGCCGATATTGCTACGGCAAACAGATCCATTGTAGACATAAAATTGAGCGAAGGCAGCAGGCCGAATGTTGGTTTGTTGATGATCCAGCAAAGTTTGTTCCTCTAGTACACGTACGTGAACGTGCCACCAAAGTGGAAATGTTCTGCTGAACGACTGGTAGAAAGTGATGGAAATTGGAGTGGGTGCGAGGCACAGTGTCGGTCCAATATGATTGCATGTAGACGCTATAGGCTTATATGATAGCAGAAGTAAACAAACAGCCAAAAACTCATTAGAATTGAATTTTGCTTGATTGACAGGCAAACAGGATGCTATCAAATGTCAGCCTTGTGGTTTTATAAGACAGTTTTTATATCAGGCACATCAAATGTGTCACATTTGATCAGCACATGATTGCTTTTTCACTTTGCTGTATAAAAAAAATTGTAGACTCATTATTAGGTTTTGCCCTGCACTGACAAATAAACACTGTATACTCAGTGTGTTACCTTCCGATAGAAAGTTAGAAAACGTCACTCGGGTGGGACTCAAACCCACAACCTCCTACTTTCTAGTGCAGACGTCTTAGCACTCAACTCCTGAGCTCGCCGGGATCGGTTGGCTGGTTCGAATCTGATGTAGCAGCGAGTACCGCAAGGATTGTAGTCATTATAATGGCTTAGAAATTATCCAGTCGTTCCCTTCATGTACAGGCCCTTCAGTATTGGCAGTTTGTGCACTGGTGTTGATGGCTCAATGCAGCAAGGTCCCATAGACTTGTACACTGCTACTCTGTGTTGCTGTATTGTAGTCCAGTACATTTCCAAGAGTACGAGTATGTGTACATTTCCAAGAGTGCGAGTACATGTACATGTACTTCGCTATGCGTACGAGTACAAGTAGGACTTGCCGTGAGTACAAGTGTTACACTATGAAAGAGCACAAGTACAAGGCAATTTTGCCATGAGTACGAGTACATTCATGAGTGCAAAACTTTAGTACTTTTCCTTGAGTGCAAGCTTGTTTTGATGGGTGCAAAGGTTATCAAGTATTTTTGTTGTCAGATGAGGCTTTAAATGTATGTAAAAGCATACCAAACTGTAGAAAAAGGGGTGCTTGTCCCTTACGTTCATGAGTACGAGTATGAGTACTTTGCCATGAGTACCGGTACAAGTAATTTCTCATAAGTATGAGTATGTAAAATGTATTCGAGAACTACACCACTTCTGTGCTGTGTGTAGCAAGATAAGGGTTCATGGTTCACTGTTCTGGATGGTCTTGTTGCCTGCGAATGCACCGCCATGCCCCCTTCAGCACTTTCTTAGCTTCCTGTCGGAAACACCTGTTCATGAATACGTAGACCAGGGCGTTTAGCCAGCCATGACTACTGAAGATAAGCTTGCACACAGCGAGGATTGTCAGTGCAGGTGAGCTGCCCCTCATGTCATCGGATAGGACGAATTGTACATGAATGACGTGGGCCATGTAAGGCAAGCTGGTCAGGGCAAAGCAGAGCGTCACAGCGGCGAAGGTCTTGTAGCCACGTCGTCCACTCCCGGCGGCATTGTTAGGTTGGGGATCGGGATTCTGTTGGCGGATTCGGAGCGCGTGCTTTCGGCCGAGAATCAAGAGGCGGGCATAGATGGTGCAAATCAACAGCATGGGTAGCCCTAAAGCTGGGATGAGTAAAACTGCAAACCAGAACCTCAGAGTGTTTGTCCCTTTTACTTGGATCACGCAGTAAATCCCTTCCAGCCAATCTCTGTTGTAGAAAATGATGGCGCCAATGATGAAAGCCAGGCCAAGTATCACCCACAGAAGTACCATGGAGATTTTGAAGAAACGTTGGACCTTTTCTTGAGTGTAGGAGAAGGGGTGCGTTATCACCATGTACCTGTCCACGCTGAGTGCGGTGATAAATGCGACAGATGCAAATGATGACATGTCGAGCATGAGAGCACTTAAGTTGCAGACTTCATTCCCAAAGGGCCACTGCTGTGCTGTTATAGCCACAAAGGTTGCAAGATACGGCCAAATTGTCAGCATGTCGGCGACAGCCAGGGACACCATACAAAGCCTGGTGCTGCCATCCAGACTGGACATTCGGCGAGCAACGATGATGGACAGAGTCCCACCAAATCCAATTGCCAAAGAATTGAGTAAAATTAATACTGCCGGTATTGCTAGGGCAAACAGATCCATTGCAGACATAAAATTGAGCGAAGGCAGCAGGCCAAATGTTAGTTTGTTTATGATCCCGCAAAGTCTATTTCTCTAGTACATGTACGTGAATGTGATAAATGCTACAGATGCAAATGATGCGCGTGTGATGCATTGATGATGGACAAACTCCCACCAAATCCAACTGCTGCAGAATTGAGCAAAATACAGACTGCCAATATTGCTGCGACAACCTGATTCATTGCAGAAACAGAAGTGAATGAACGCAGCAGGATGAATACTGAACTGTTTATGATCCAGCAAAGTCCAATTTTGTAGCAAAATCAGGAATCCGCTGCCAAAGTCAAACTCTTCTGCTGAAAGACCAGTAGAAAGTGATGGCAATTGGAATACGCTGTGACAGTCGGTCTAATTGGAGTTTTGGTCCAATATGACTGCATGTTGATGCTAGGTTTTTATGAATGCCAACATAAACAAATTGCCAGAACTCATAAGAGGTCCATTTTGGTCCATTGTCAGGCAAACACAATGCCATTATTAATGGCCTTGTGTTTGCCTGACGATGGACCCAAATGGACCTGACAATGGACCAAGGCTGACATTGAAAATGTCAGCCTTGGGGTTTTAAAAGAAATTATGTATCTGGCACAAAGTATATTTCACATTACCACATGCATCGCAGAACCACAGTCATTATAATTGCTTTGAAATTATCCAGTTATGCCTTCCATTTACAGCATCAATTTTTAATTTCCCTCAAAAAAAAAATTGAAAAAGAATTCAATTTTGAGGGAAAAGTTGTCTTGCAAATATTGTTCGATCCCAAGGATTGTGTACAGATATTAATTATGCAGCAAATTTAACAGAATAGTGTTCTAGTATCCGGCAATTTTCATTTGAAATCTACTTCATTAATGCCACAAATGATGAACTAAAACAAAAACGTAATCAGAATGTAGGATAATTTGATCAAAAAATAATGTTTTCAAAAGAAAATCATTGTTTCTTTTTTGTACGTCGTGATGCCGTACTTCATTCTGAAATCACTTTTGATGATCTGGGTTTTTTTGTGTGGAGTGCATGAAGTTTGACTGACATAGATATTGGTGAGGCTGCTATATGTTTGGCTGTGTGATTGATATTTTTTACAGTTCAAAGCGTTACAGAGTTAAAAAAAACAAGCCATTTTCATGTTTCAAAATATTGTATCAACACTATATTATCGATCAACAAATAAATGGTACATAATGACAACTACTGCTACTCACTTTCTATAAAACTAACATTTCCAACCTTTGTTCATCATATTTATAAAATATGAATTTTCATAATTGCCGTTACGGAGTGACGCAAAGTAAACGTGAGTTTTAGTCACATGTGCAAACATACTCATTGCCTTCCGTATTTCTTAAGCTTTGATATGCTAACTTTTACTTGAAGATTGGTCAAGTAATTCCATCTGATAATGGTCAAGTAATATGTACAACACGAGAATATAAAGTACATCAATGGAGTGACTGTTACGGAGAGACCGTTACGGAGTGACGATTGGATAACTCAATACAACAGGGCAATTTAACTACTACAAATTGTGAATGATTGTTTAACCCTAAAAGGGCCAGGCTTTTTTGGACCTCACAACTTTGGGGGGGGGGGGTGGACAGATTGGTCACAGGGTGGTCATGCTTATCCTGTCACACTTATCCTGCCAGATGTTGTAGTGCTTTTCCACACTGTTCATGACTCCTTCACATACCGGTACTACAGCCCTCCATGCTTGCCAGTCATTGGCATCAGGCTCCTAATTTAGTGGGGTCAATGTCGCACTGCTTCATGTCACGCCTTCAGACATCTTTGAAGCGGAGAGCAGGGCCAGTAGTGGGTTTGGTGCCAATGGCCAGCTGGCTGTAGAGAACATCTTTGGGTATTCTACCATCATCCATGCGGTGTGTATGGCTGAGCTATCGCAGGAGTCACTGACACAGCAGGGTGAACATGCTGGGGATGTTTGCCTCCTCAAGGACCTTGTGGTTTGATGCCAAGGATACGTCTTTAAAAGGAGGCAGCACATGTATACGAAATGCATTCAGGCGATGTTCTTGCTGGGTGTATGTTTTCCACGTCTCACTGCCATAGAGTAGAGTACTGAGAACACACGCCTGATACACACGGACCCTTGTGTGCCATATGTGGGTGCAGTTTTTCCGTACCCTTTTGACTAGTCCTGACATGGCAGTGGATGCCTTCCCAATGCATTTGCTGATATCAGCGTTGAGGGACAGGCTGCTCGTGATAGTTGAACCCAGGTGTGTGAATTCTGGGACCACTTCAAGGATGTGGTCTTTGATGAAGATCAATGGGGTGTTGCTGACACCCTGTTCCATGATGTTGGTCAGGCCGAACTCAATGCAGGCAGTGGCAAATCTGTCAGTGATGTCAGACTCTGCAGGCCTTCCTAGGTGTGTGATGTCAACGCAGCATCATCTGCAAACAGGAGCTCCTGTATGAGGACTTTGCGTACTTTGGTTTTGGCGCGGAAGAGAGCCAGGTTGAAGAGGCTACTGTCTGCTCCTGCACAAAGGTGGACACCCTCAGATGAGTACATTTCCAAGAGTACATGTATGAGTATATTACCAGTACAAGTACTTATCCATGAGTGCAAGCATATTTCGATGGGCTCTCATGTTATCAAGAGCTTTTTGCTGTCACATTGGGCATAAAATGTATGCAAAAACATACCAAACAGTAGAAAATGGGTTCTTTCCTGCATGTACCTCAAAAATTTTTAAAAATTTGGGAGAACGTTATCATGAGTATCAGTACGAGTACAAACAAATTGAATAAAGTATGAGTAGAAGAACTACATCGCTGTGTTCTGTGTAGCAAGGTAAGGGTTCATGGTTCACTGTTCTGGATGGTCTTGTTGCCTGCACATGCAGCGCCGTGCCCCCTTCAGCACTTTCTTAGCCTCCTGTCGGAAACACCTGTTCATGAATACGTAGACCAGGGCGTTTAGCCAGCCGTGACTGTTGAAGATAAACTTGCACACAGTGAGGATTGTCAATGCAGGTGAGCTGCCCCTCATGTCATCGGATAGGATGAATTGTACATGAATGACGCTGGCCATGTAAGGCAAGCTGGTCAGGGCAAAGCAGAGCGTCACAGCAGCGAAGGTCTTGTAGCCACGTCGTCCACTTCCGGCGGCGTTGTTGGGTTGGGGATCGGGATTCTGTTGGCGGATTCGGAGCGCGTGCTTTCGGCCAAGAATCAAAAGGCGGGCATAGATGGTGCAAACCAACAGCATGGGTATCCCTAAAGCTGGGATGAGTAAGACTGCAAACCAGAACCTCAGAGTTGTTGTCCCTTTTACTTGGATCACGCAGTAAATCCCTTCCAGCCAATCCCTGTTGTAGAAAATGATGGCGCAAGAGATGAAAGCTAGGCCAAGTATCACCCACAGTAGTACCATGGAAATTTTGAAGAAACGTTGGACCTTTTCTTGAGTGTAGGAGAAGGGGTGCGTTATCACCATGTACCTGTCCACGCTGAGTGCAGTGATAAATGCGACAGATGCAAATGATGACATGTCGAGCATGAGAGCACTTAAGTTGCAGACCTCATTCCCAAAGGGTCACTGCTGTGCCACCATAGCCACAAAGGTTGCAAGATACGGCCAAATTGTCAGCATGTCAGCGACAGCCAGGGACACCATACAAAGCCTGCTGCTGCCATCCAGACTGGACATTCGGCGAGCAACGATGATGGACAGAGTCCCACCAAATCCAACTGCCGCAGAATTGAGTAAAAAGTAGACTGCCATTATTGCTGCGACAGCCTGATCCATTGCAGAAACAGAAGTGTACAAAGGCAGCAAGCCAAATGTTAGTTTGTTTATGATCCCGCAAAGTCTCTTTCTCTAGTACATGTACGTAAACTTGCCACCAAAGTGGAAATGCTCTGCTGAACGACTGGTAGAAAGTAATGGAAATTGGAGTGGGTGCGAGGCACAGTGTCGGTCCAATATTATTGCATGTACATGTAGACGCTATAGGCTTATATGATAGCCAAAATAAACAAACAGCCAAAAACTCATTACAATTCAATTTTGCTTGATTGACGGGCAAACAGGATGCTATCAAATGTCAGCCTTGTGGGTTAATAAGAAAGTTTCATATCAGGCACATCAAATGTGTCACATTTGATTAGCACATGGTTGCCTTTTCACTTTGCTGTATAATAAAATTGTAGACTCATTATTAGGTTTTGCCCTGCACTGACAAATAAACACTGTATACTCAGTGTGTTAGAAAGTTAGAAAACATCACTCGGGTGGGACTCAAACCCACAACCTCCTGCTTTCTAGTGCAGACGTCTAAGCACTCAACCACCGAGCTCGCCGGGATTCGTTGGCTGGTTCGAATCTGATGTAGCAGCGAGTACCGCAAGGATTGTAGTCATTATAATGGCTTTGAATTATCCAGTCGTTCCCTCATGTACAGGCCCTTTAGTATTGGCAGTTTGTGCACTGGTGTTGATGGCTCAATACAGCAAGGTCCCGTAGACTTGTACACCTGCTACTCTGTGTTGCTGTATTGTAGTCCAGTACATTTCCAAGAGTTCCAAGAATACATTAAATGTATGTAACAGCGTACCAAACTGTAGAAAAAGGGGTGCTGGTCCCTTACGTTCATGAGTACGAGTATGAGTACTTTGCCATGAGTACCGGTACGAGTAATTTCTCATGAGTATGTAAAATGTATTCGAGAACTACACCACTTCTGTGCTGTGTGTAGCAAGATAAGGGTTCATGGTTCACTGTTCTGGATGGTCTTGTTGCCTGCGAATGCACCGCCATGCCCCCTTCAGCACTTTCTTAGCCTCTTTTCGGAAACACCTGTTCATGAATACGTAGACCAGGGCGTTTAGCCAGCCGTGACTATTGAAGATAAGCTTGCACACAGCGAGGATTGTCAATGCAGGTGAACTGCCCAACATTTCATCAGATGCAATAAATTGTACATGAATGACACTTGCCATGTAAGGCAAGCTGGTCAGGGCAAAGCAGAGCGTCACAGCGGCGAAGGTCTTGTAGCCACGTCGTCCGCTTCCGGCGGCGTTGTTGGGTTGGGGATCGGGATTCTGTTGGCGGATTCGGAGCGCGTGCTTTCGGCCGAGAATCAAAAGGCGGGCATAGATGGTGCAAACCAACAGCAGGGGTATCCCTAAAACTGGGATGAGTAAAAGTGAAAGCAATGACAAACGAGACTTGCTTACTTTTATTGCGCAATCAATTGCTTCAAGCCCAGCATTAGTTTTGCGCAAGATGGTGCCAATGATGAAAGCGAGGCTGAATATCGCCCAGATCAGTGCTATGGAGATTTTGAAGAAGCGTTGGACCTTTTCTTGGGTGTAGTAGAAGGGGCGCGTTATCACCATGTACCTGTCCACGCTGAGTGCGGTGATAAATGTTACAGATGCAAATGATGCGAGTGTGAGCATGAGAGCGCTTAGGTTGCAGACCGCCACCCCAAAGGGCCACCGCTGTGCCACTATAGCCACAAAGGTTGCAAGATGCGGCAAAATCGTCAACATATCTGCGACAGCCAGGGACACCATACAAAGCCTGGTGCTGCTATCCAGATTGGACATTCGACGAGCAACGATGGTGGACAAAGTCCCACCAAATCCAACTGCCGCAGAATTGAGTAAAAAATAGACTGCTGTTATTGTTGCGAGAGCCGGATCCATTGCAGAAACAGAAGTGGAGGAAGGCAGCATGGTGAACGTTTGTTGAATTGTTTGTGATCCCGTAAAGTCCAATTGTCGAAACGTTCTGCCGAAGGACCAGTAGTCAGTGATGGAAATTGGAATGCGTGTGCTCTCGTCGGCCAAATTGGAGTGTCTGTTCCAATATGATTGCATGTGTGATGCCAGGTTGATATGATAGCCAACATAAACAAACAGCCACAAACTCATTAGAATTCAATTTTTCTTGATGGACAGGCAAACAGGATGCCATCAAATGCCAGCCTTGTGATTATTGGATAAGATGTGAAGGTTTGCACGGTGAATATAACAATACCATTATAGTGAACAGTTGCACCATGTAACCAATCTCTTCTCTCAGCTCGTGAGATTCTGAAAAGGTTGAGGTTAAAAGTGTTTCGAAGATTTCTAAGTAGATTAAAATTACTTGTGAGATTCAAACTAACTAAATGTTGAAATGCTCAAGACAGTGAGGATGTGGAATGTCCCAAAGCAATAAATGTGAATTGAAAACGTGGACAAGATACATGTTGGTCAGTATTCGCTCTTTTCACACTTCCGCCATGGGCATGCAGAGCCTTGCTCTGGCAACCTTACACAATGAACATAGCTGGTTCAGTGGCTGTGCATGCCCAGTGGCGGAGTGCGAAAAGAGCGAATGGTAATGTTATGTATCTGAAGCATGTACATATATATCATGAACGCATGAACGCAGTTCTGTTATTGTCGTTTAAGTTCGTTTTGTTTAAGTTTTGTTATTGTTGTTTTTTGACTTGTATAGATTCCTGAAGAAGAGCAGTTTTACTGTCTCGAAACGTCGATTAAATCCACTCCAGCCAACAATGCATTGGTTCTGTGTCACCCTCTCTATTTTGTCATGAACGCATATATACAATGTACATGTATGTTCATAAAATCGTTTATTCTAACCATTGCTTCGTTAAGGCTGCTCTCGATTTCTTCAAATATTGATGTTATTGTAGAGTCATCTGCGTACATGTACCTGTACAATTGACAATTCTTGGGATTTATAGTTCTAAGGAAGGTCCATAGTATAGACAATGAACAACAGTTGCCCAAGGATTGACCCTTGTGGTACACCAGTATTTAACGGGAGTGGACTAGATTTGTTCCGTTCAATGCACACAAATTGTTTGCTGTTGGTTAAGTATGAACCAAACCAGTTGAAAACAGACCCTGACAAGTGCATACATTCTGTAGCTTCTCTATAAGAGGATAAACTGATTGACAGAATTGAATGCCTTACTAAGATCAATAAAAACGGTACCTGTCATTTTCCCTAAATCTGTTGCATAAAGACAAAATGATTAATTAATCTATGCAAAGTGGTGTCCGTCGAGGGCAGTGGTCTTAAACCTGATTTGGCAAGCAGAAATCAAATTGTTCTCATCGAGGTACGATAGTTATTGACACTATACTTATCTCCACCCTTGTGGATGGGAATAACTGAGGCATGTTTCCACGCATCGGAATAAAGACCAGTTCTTAGTGACAAGTTGAAAATACAAGTAAGCGCCCCAATAATATGGGGGCATGTTAGTTTAAAGAGGTTGTGGAATGCTCGAAGACATTTCAGTCATTTTTCGGGTATATGTAGCCTAAGGTGTGATGAAATAAAAACGACTATTGTGTCTGTCATGAAATGAGTACAAAAGGTACTTTTGATAGCTGTTTTTCAGGTCCTGTTTCGACCCGAACGTGCAATTTGTGTAAAAGTCGTCGTTGGGGGCAGCAAACAAAACATAGTAAATCGTGACGTAATAAACAGGACTCCCGATGCAGCGTAGTATACACGAGTCCTGTTTATTACGTCACGATTTTTCTCATTTTACGAAGAACCCGACGACTGTTGATTTCAATTATGTGCTCGCCGACCAACAAATTACTCGATGAATTTCAGTTTTATAAACATATAAACGCACATTACAAAAGAACGGGAGTTTGTCATTATGATATTTATGGGTCTACTCTACAATAAAAAACAAAATAAGAAACAAAACGACTTTCAGCATTCCGCAACCTCTTTTAAGAAGCTTAACATTTATGCCATAGGGACCAGTTGCTTTCCTGATAGGCATTGAACTAATCTGTTTCTTAACAAGATCTTCAATAGTATCAGGAAAATTCCTCAAAGTTGTAGTGCGCCGGGGCATGAACCGTGTTACTGTCATCCCCATCAGAAGCAACATTTGACTGAATAGTCTCGGCCTTGCGCTCACCAATAAGCCTTTTTGGAGTTCCAACTGCGCGCATTCGTAACCTGTGACAACGCGCATTGTTTGTCTCAAATGCCCTTTGACAGTACCCACAATGCACAAACAGCCTTTTTGTAAAGTCAGTGGCGCGATGTTGTCAAAGGCCATTTGAGACACACAATGTGCGTCGTCACAGGTTATGAATGCGCAGTTGGAACTCCGAAAAGGCTTTATTGTTGAGAAGATGTTATGCTTCCCAGGATGCCGTGGGGCTGCCATTAGGGATGGTCTGATACATATTTATTCATGAATGTACACATTATAATATATGAAGGTATACATGATTATTCATGATGTTGTTATTTCCCAGGATGCCTTGGAGGCTGCCATGAAGGCGGGCCTGTGGGGCCACGCCCTCCTCCTCGCCTGCAAGATGGATAGTAGAACACACACCAGCGTCATGACTAGGTGAGTAGAATCCATTCCATACCAAGAGTGGGGAATTAGTCAGGATTTCTTTCATTATAATTCACTTGTTTTTATCATTGGAGCTTGGTACAGCTACATGTATACTTTGACTTAAGCAGATGGATAAACCAAATGTACGTAACAGTTACTTGCTTTTGTGTCTTGATGGAATTTGACTATCCACGGTGCCTTTTGAAATATGTGTATAAGTTATGGAAGTGGATTGAATTTCTGACTGTCTTTGACTGATCAAACGGTATCAAATCAATGTTCACCTTACCTTGTGATTTCACTTAAGACGAATCCAGAAAGCTCTGAAAATGTGAATACATTTTCGGAAAAATGTGTTTTTAGAGCCCACTTTGGATGCACACATCAGCTCGGCAGCAGACGGTCTTGGCGGCCATTTGTGGCATTAGTTATTGATGTATGCAATGGGCGTGACCACCTGTACCCAACGATAGTGCAATACGTCACCAAGAATATTTAATTTGTCATGAGTATTTAGTGTGTTAAATATTCATTAGCCTTATACTTTAAATACATCAAATAGTCCCTTACTGGCAACGATCGTTCGACTAGTGAAGCGGATAAGGCTGGTGTGATTAAATAACAAGATTGCGGGTTCAAAACCCGGTGGAGTAAGTAGCTTGTAAATAAAGAGGATTGGAGGAGGTAAGAGAGTGAAAATATCGAGGAGGGAAAATAGATGAAAAACCATAGAAAGTAACTTTTTTGGCACTTGGAAATTGATTGAAAAAAAGGTGACGTACTCAAGGGCGGATCCAGGGGGGGGCCAAAGGGGGCCATGGCCCCCCCCAAAAACGAAATCAATTTTTTTTTTTTTATGTGACATCGCAATAACGGCAGGCAATGAGTACACCACCATCTTTTCCTCAAAAAAAAACATTGGTTAAAGTGGTCAGAAATTGCCTCAGATCGCACCACAGAGCATCTAGAATCCCAAAAATTTTCGGGGCCCTTAAGCGGGCCCCGAACCCCACGCCGTAATTTTTTTGACCCACTTTTTGACATAGCAATAAAGGCTGGGCAATTAGTACACCACCATCTTTTCCTCAAAAAAAACATTGGTTAAAGTGGTCAGAAATCGCCTCAGATCACACCACAGAACATCTAGAATCCAAAATTTTTTCGGGGCCCTTAAGCGGGCCCCGAACCCCACGCCGTAATTTTTTTGATGAGTACACCACCATCTTTTCCTCAAAAAAAAACATTGGTTAAAGTGGTCAGAAATTGCCTCAGATCGCACCACAGAGCATCTAGAATCCCAAAAATTTTCGGGGCCCTTAAGCGGGCCCCGAACCCCACGCCGTAATTTTTTTGACCCACTTTTTGACATAGCAATAAAGGCTGGGCAATTAGTACACCACCATCTTTTCCTCAAAAAAAACATTGGTTAAAGTGGTCAGAAATCGCCTCAGATCACACCACAGAACATCTAGAATCCAAAATTTTTACGCCGTAATTTTTTTTGACCCACTTTTTGGGGGGAACCAAAAATTTTTTTGGCCCCCCCCAAAATTGTGTTCTGGATCCGCCCTTGGACGTACTTGTATGGTAGACTTTCCCTAGTTTCTGACATCAGCAGTCGGGTATTCCTCTAAGCCTCTATGCACATTCCTACATAATGGTGTGCTGTAATATCATTCCTTTGTCCATTTCCTTGTAGATTTGCCAACAGTCTGCCGATGAATGACCCCCTGCAGACTCTGTATCAACTCATGTCCGACAGGCAACCGGCTGCTGTCACTGTGAGTTGAGCAAAACTTGCTTCTATTCAGTTTGAAGATGTTACTGTGTGTGGTTTTGTCGAGTTTCACTCGAGAAGTACATTTTGCTTACATTTTTTTTTGGGGGGGGGGAGAGCAGTTCAAAAGGTATTCACTTTTGAATGCGACATTGACTAGAAAAAATCAACCTACGATTAGGCCAAAAAAAATAAGTCTCCGGTTTCTGGTATGGAGCTTGCCCAAAAAGTGGTGCGGCGACGCGGCTTTTTTTTTTTTTTTTTTTTTACCTGATTTTTTTGCCTCAAATGTCGGCTGATGACTGCAAATGGTGCCCGACTAGACTTAGTGCAAATACATGGGAGTCCAGGGAAGCCATGTAAAGCTTATTCTAATCTAAAAACACGTTAAAATTGTGCAGCAGCAGGATTCCAGTCAAACCAGTGAATTTGAGACATCATCTTTCATTGATAAAAAACCTTTTCATTTTGCCGACGCGCATGGCTACGGTGACGCACGCGCATACCAGAAACCGGAGACTTTTTTTTTTGGCCTTATGTCTGTAATAAATGTTTCCAATTTTCCAATTTTCGAATTATTTGGGACTTGACAATGTTGTAGATAGCGCAGAAATTTTTTGAAAAAAAGAAAGAAATTGACGCGTGCAATCGAAATCGATGGGCGCGCTGACCAGAGACCGACTATTTTTTTTTGGCCCTTATTGTGACTCAATCTCATGTTCAGTGCCTTATTTCCCCCTCAGAGTTGTGCCGATGAGAAGTGGGGTGACTGGAGGCCTCATCTGGCCATGATCCTCTCCAACCTCAGCCAGGACTCGGAGCTGGACATGAAGAGTATCATCACGCTGGGAGATTCACTTGGTATGAAAAGCCTACTACTGGCTTACTTAAGAAAAATCATGGTCGCTTCAAAAATGCAGTGATGAAGCACAGGCATTTGCATGGGGGGGGTGTTAAAATTTCTCGAAAAGGCACTTGCACATCCATGCTGAAATGCAGACAAGTTTTTTTTTCTGCACACTTTAAAAACTAACCTGATGAATTAGTGAAAGTATGTCAGATGTAGTGAAGAGGCAACCCATCAGAAGAGCCCAATTTTATGTCACACACGTGACAAAGAATGGCCCCAGTGTTCATGTCCATACCGCTTGCAAATGGGAAGCATTTTAGGTCTTCTTGCAATAATTATTTCATCCCCCATAATCATTTAAAAAAAAAAAAATACAGGGTTTTGCTTCTGACTATGAATATTTCAAGTGTCAAATTCCAAGTTGTTAACTGTATATGTGCCAAAATTCCAAGTTGTTTACCCTGTGATCTCTTTTTGTTTTGTTACACTGTTTCTGTAGCCTCCAGGGGTCTGTTGAAGGCGTCTCATTTTGTCTACCTGATGGCTCAGGTTGGGTTTGGTGTCTACAGCAAGAGGACCAATAAGATGGTGCTGCTGGGTGCTAGTCACAGGTATGTTGGGCGGGTTGCTCCGTTTAACAACTGTTGACTGCTGTGATGTGGGATATGGCATGTTTAAAACCGGAGGGGCACAAAGCACCTGAGGTGAAGCCGAGGGTGCTGTTCGCCCCGAGGGGGTTACTAATACCATATCTCACATTGCAGCAGTCAATAATTGTTTTGTTACAAATGTGTATCATGCCAGTAAGTTAAAAGAATAAAGGTTTGTAACTTTCTAGGCAAGAAATACATGTAAATAAACTTACTGCAGTGAAACCTGTTGATAACTGCGAGCTTTGCTACGGGACATGAGGCTAAGTGGTTGTAATTCTCAGTGGCGAGGCGCGAGGGCCTGCCCTACGCACACGCGTAGTGCAGAGGTAATTTATATGCAACGTAGTGTATATGAGGTAACTTATATGCAACAGGATTTATATGCAACTTTTTATATAACATATATAGTAAACAATTATTTTTATAGACTGGTCACATGGCTGTTGTGGACCAATGAAATTGCATTATCCAAGAACACGATGTAGCAATCATGTTTATGGGCCTTATTCACGAGTTGGGCCTTTTTGTTGAGTTCCCTGAACATATATGACTAATTCTTAACTGTTGAATGGGATGGCGCCAGACTATTTTTGCAGGCATAATGCAGCCTTTTTTTACTGTCTTTTTTTTTTTATCTGGCTTTAAACATTAGGGAATGTTTAATTACAAATTTTAAATTACTCAGTTAAGCAGACTGGAATTAATTACCGTAGTGATTAAAGGGGCACTAGGTCCTGAAATCCCCGAAAATGTTATGTTTTGGATTGTTTACTTAGCCTATTTCAAACATCTGGTTGAAAGGAAACCAACCTAATGTCTTACCGTTCCCGAGAAAAGACGAAAAAACCCCGCTTGTTTACATCAGACATGACGGAGTACGAATACGTTTTTCGTGTCGTTCTCATGTACGCTATACACATTGTGTGTCTCGGGAACAGTGCGCGGTGACCAATCACCAATGCAAAAAATTGTGGTTTCTTCAACGTCCGCAAAAGGCAAACACTTTACGCGTACAAATGAAATCACCAGGCGCGGATCCAGAGGGGGGGTTTTGGGGGTAAAAAAAAAACAACCCCAGCTCTGTCAAAAAAACCCAACAAATATCATACAAATTCCTATAAAATAAGTCGTGTGAATAAGGCCCATGCAGCCTTCATTGGCCTGTTTCAGCTGCTGTGACCAGTTACACTGATGTGTTTTCGGATTTGTTTGTTGCCATTGAACCGCACACAGAACAATGTCAAAATTTTGTGTATTGATGTAATGTAGCAGTTTGCTTTTGCCAAGTGCAAGTTTATTTTTTACCACCAACTGGAAGAGAAAAATGACTCATGTTTTACAAACGAAATTTGTTTGCTTCCTAACTTCTTATTTGTAGTCAGTATTTGTAGAAAGACAGTTCATGTTTTTTATTTCACAAAGAAATACAACAAAATGAAACAACAAGAACTTCTCGTGCTTTTTTTTTTCAGTCTTCCTTTCAAATTGTTTGCCTTGAATGAGAGCATACAGCAGACGGAGATATACGAGTACGCTCAGCTGCTGTGCAATAAACAGTACACTCTGCCAAACTACCAGCCGTACAAGTTCATCTACGCAACCCGGCTTGCTGAACATGGGTTAACGACACAGGTACGACCCCACTGGGATTTTGTCTTGGCGTGGGAAGGAGTTCCCAAAGGTTCAGTTCATTACAATGAGGGATATGAACTCCATGCACCATCGGTAGATCAATATTAGGTTTTGCCCTTCATCGACACTGTATAAACACTCTGTGCACTGTTACCTCCTGACTGAAAGTTGGAACAAATCACTCGTGTGGGACTCGAGCCCACGACCTCCTGCTTTCTAGTGCAGACGTCTTGCCACTCAACCACCGAGCATCAGTAGATGACACGTTGCGACCACTTTTGAGAGCGTACTGGCACGTGTGCGTATGGCACAAAGTATGCACATGGCGCGAAGTACGCACATGGCGCTAAGTATGCACATGGCGCGAAGTACGCACATGGCGCGAAGTACGCTCATGGCGCGAAGTACGCACATGGAGCGCAGTACGCACATGGCGCGCAGTACGCACATGGCGTGAAGTATGCACATGGTGCGCAGTACGCACATGGTGCGCAGTACGCACATGGCGCGCAGTACGCACATGGCGCGCAGTACGCACATGGCGCGCAGTACGCACATGGCGCGCAGTACGCACATGGCGCGCAGTACGCACATGGCGCGCAGTACGCACATGGCGCGAAGCACGCACATTCTGCAGGTTGTGGGTTCAAGTCCAGCCTGCGACTATGGTGTGACACTTATTGCTTCTCTCCACCCAGGAGTAAATTGGGTACCTGAGAGGGCAGAGATGGTTATTGTGGTTGATTTAGCTGCTTTGCACCAAAATGGCAGCATCGAGCTGTATACTCTCGAGGGAGCTGAGATGGTATTTGAAATGTTTCATTGGCCCATTGAGCAGGGGTAATAATGATGTAGCGCCTTGAGCACCAATAATGGTGGATACGTGCGCTTTATAAATACGCATTATTATATTATGTATTAATTAGTTGAATGACTGACCAATTAAAGAACAAGATTTCATTTTGTCGTTGTCCTTCAGGCTCTGAGTTATTGTGAGGTGGTGGCCAATGCCGTGGTGTACATGCCCAGTCTTTACAGCACTACGCTAGTGACTCAGATCTACCAGGTAAGAATGCAACATGTTTCACAATGTTCCCCACGGTTAATGAATATCAAGTGAAAAAGTAATTGGAAAGAACAGGATATCACTAGAAGTTACAGTGGAACACCGCTATACCGAACATTGGGCTATACCAAACATCGCTATACCGAACACCGCTATGCTGAACATTGGGCTATACCGAACATCATCCTTGATTCCCGATATTTGTATACAAAATGTAACAAACGTTGTTGTCGAAAATTGTCAACATAAGAGTGACAAGTGGGTATTATTTCCCAAAAGAAAAGAAGGGAAAAGCCACTGACTGCTGTAGAAGGTAAAAGCCACCGATTGCTATTTGGCTATAGGGCCATTGCAGATTATGTCCTCATGAAACTTTATAGGGTAGAGTAATAAGCGATGGAAGCCATTTTGAAAATTGCTTGTTATTCAACCTTTATTCTTTCAAAGCACAAATCTGTGATGGCCCTACAGTGAAATATCTTTCTAGGCTATGATGTCATGTCATGTGTGTTGCTGTTGACTGGTACCCTGCCAGTTCCTGCTCAACGTGCAATTTTGCTAAGCAGTATTTTCAGCTCAGCAACTCTGTGATATCGGCCCCCAGTAATGGAATCCTTTATCTTATTTGCACCCTTTAACCGTAAAGCTTGCCAGTCGTCTGATCTACCATGATGAGAGATACTCAGACGGCCGAGAGACCGCTGTTCCTGATTGGCTGAACAGGCTGCAAGATATACTCAATCAAATGAATGTAAGTTCGTATCCTGTTTCCATCCATATTTTCATTGATTCAATCTTGGTAAACTCCTTGAAATCATCTCAGTCTGTATTGGCTCAAAATGGTGCACGCTACCGACTGCGAGCTGATATATTGGCATGAAAGTCGTAGCGCATTGTTTCAATTCCATCCAGTTAAGGCAATTACATGTAATTCCATTTTTTAAAAGTTCCTATTGATTACGTGAAGTCTGTAAAGCTTTTTAGGCATACATTTGTGTTGACGTTTTTTTTTTTTTTGTGGTTGCCTGGTCGACTAAAGTCGCCTCTGTGATTAGCAGCAGGGGGTAGTTCCTTGTCAACAAAAGTCACCCATGGTTAGGAAAGGGCTAACAATTCAAAAACCACCTTATCAGTTCTTTCGGAAGAGTCTGCCATGCTTTTTTTATGGAACCTAAAAACCATAATTCCCCCCTTCCCTCTATATAGGAGGGGCAGATACTACCCTCTTCCTCGTCTGGTACCCCGATGCCCTGGGTGGAATCCTACAGCAATCTCAGCACGGTGGACAGTGGGGGCAGTGTGGAGAGCACCGGACCAACCTTTGAGGTGCCCAGCTCAGAAGGCAAAGAACCGTACACTGCAGGTATGTAGTCCTTAACGGTATATAGTATGTCAATTGCAGCTATCCAAAAAGTAACTGACAAAGTTATAGTTGAAAATCTTACTTGGTTTAAAGATAGTAATGGCACTAAACTCCCTGTGAAATTATTCCTTCTGGCATGCTGTCACTGTAAAGAAAACAGTAACTAGACGCATCTCAAAGATGCGTCTAGTGACGCATTTTTGGAAATTTCCGTTTGCAGTTGGTTTGTTATTTGGTGTATTCGTGTATGGTTGTGCGCAAGCGTTGATACGACGCACACACGCCTGGTTGCTCTCATTTGTCATTTTAGTGCGTGACATCGCGTGGCTACAATCGGCTGAATGAGAACGTGTCCCGGATGCTGATTTCGGGCGCAGTTCAAAACATGACACTGCAACTTTTGACTTATCAATCACCTACAGTCGAAGCATAGCTGTATCAAGTTACCGGTACATAAACAGTCTCAGCCAGTTAATCCTGCTGTTTAAAAGATGTTAAAAACTGTTACAAAGAGTCACTTGATTGGTTTTGACTGAAAGGACAATTTTGCGCAGAATGTATGTTTACATAGGAGGGTTAATGGCTGTAATTTAATCATGCCTACAAATTGCATACATGTTACCATATGTCCCTGCACAATGTAAGCAGTGTTAAAATATCGGTGTCATTTTGGGGTTTTTTAACTTGCAGTTGGCGATTACACCTTGACTGCAAGCGGCTACTACCAGCCAGCAGCGTCAACTGCGGGTTCCGCAAATGACCCAACTCAGAGTCAGCCTAATGCATACAGCTATGACCAACAACAACAACAGCAGCAGCAACAGTTACCTGAAGAGAACACGGAACCGATGACGCAATATCCGGGCAGCTACACAACGTTTGGGCAGAGACACAAACCGCTGTCTTCGCTGCCGCAAAATCTGGATCCGGGCGCCTCCTTGAACAGCAATTACTCTGAATACAGCACGACCAGTCTAACCTCAGCCGGTGAATCGGGAACGGAGTTTGAGGAGAGCGGAGCCTCCAAGGCGGCTTTTGACTACTACGCGGCCAGCACGAGAACTGTAAGAAAACATTAGTACAGAACTTTTCACTAACTTTAATCCTAACCCCCTAGGCCCTTTTGGCTGGGCTGAATCCTCAATCCTGCAAAATGTGATACTTCCTCGGTTCTCCAGAATCATTCCTTATTTCTTGAATTTGCTCCAGAATCATTCCTTATTTCTTGAATTTGTTCAGTGAAGGGTATGATGTGCTTGCAGATTATGCAAAACAACACTGTGTTTTGACCTCCGGGTTCTGACCATTCAGCGAGCGCCTTCGGAAAGCCACTGTTGCATCAGAAAAACACAGCAGTTATTGGTCAATCAAAATGTTTGGCTGGCGCGCGGGGTCGCATCAAATTTCCATGCTTGGATGGATCAGACGTTGTAGTGTGGCTCTGCACAAGTAAACGCCTGATCCTTAGACTAGGTGACCACTGTCTGAAGCCTGCAAAGGCCTTCAACTCTTGTTTGAGATGTTTTACAAGTGTGGATGATATCCATAAGCAGGATAACGTAGGCCTACATTTATGCATGGCTGAACATAAACAAGGCAAGGTACAGCTTAAGACCTTGACACAGTGCCTGCAAAATCATCTGGCACTTCAAAGGCATACTTCCTGAATCCTTTAAAATCCTCCAAAAGCACCAGGTTGAATTTGAAGGAGTGAGGCAGGAATAGGGTTAAAGGGGCACTATGGCCTGAAATCCCCCAAAACTGTATGCTTTGGAGTATTTACTTTTCATATTCAAAGGTCTGATCGAAACAAATTATCCTAATGTCTTACCGTTCCCCGAGAAAAGATAAAAAAGCTCAGTGTCTTTTTTTTTAAATCGGACGTGGTGACAATTTTGTGGCATATATATGCATAAGTATTTCTAGCCGTGTCCATTCTATCTACGATATATGCATTGTGTGAGTGTCACATAATGCACCCAGCGCAAATATGTAAATGTTGTTTCTTGCACGTCTGTAGAATGCGATGCAGGATTCACAACCAGCACTTAACAACTTGATTTTTGACAGTAAAAATTTTGACCCCCGAAATTCGTTCTCGCATGGTTTTCGCAAGAATAACACAAAAATGCCCTGTTTTTAAAGGATGGTTGTGTGGTTGTTTATATCCGACTTTTAAATGCTCTTTCCAATTAACATCATTTCGTTTAAAACGCCTTTTGTAGCCCACTTGGACGCATTCCAAGACGTAATGTCCCTTAAATAAATAAGCAACTGATAAGCTTTTCAACGTGATTGACTGGATTGGCAATTAAACCTCATAGCTATTACCCAGACTGGGACCGTGAGTGCATGAAAACGTGCAAAATTACTACTGACGTTTTTTAACTCACCATTCGGCTAATTAATGCCCACACAATACATACATCAAAATGCTATAGTTACAAGCATGTCACCTGCGAAATTTGAGACCTTAAATCCAATTTTGAGGCAGGTTTTTGGCAGTTCAAAAACCATCCATGTCATTCTCCACGATCTGGAGACGTGCATGTGATTTACAAGGTATTCTGGGTAGATGCACTTAGTGCCTTGCAGCTTACTGGTTTTTTTAATCGATGGCCAAAAGAACATAGCGCCCTCTGTTAAAAAATGAAACATTCTGAATTCACTCTGATCAAAAAGAGGGCACTGTTTTTTCTACACGATGAAAATGTTGTAGCTGAGGAGTCTTTTTGCACAATCCATTGCAGCACACATCAACATGATGTCTCACGTTTGGATTTTGATAACTCTCTGTAAAATTAGAATTAAAAGCTGAATTTTTGGTGAGGCAATGCTTACAACAGCAACTTTGCGAGGCAAAAGTTTCAGGGATTATTGAAGAAACTGTAGTGAGTAAAAAGCTTGCACATTGGTTTTATTATGCAGCACAAACTTTTGCACAATATGGATACCTTAAGTTTTGGGACTCTCATACACAGTATTGAGAGTCCCAAATTTTCGGACTAAGCTATTACCATGCTTTTCAATAACAAGTATGATTGATTGATGGCACCCTGTTAATGGTCTCCAAGCAGAACACGCCTACAAACAGAAGTAATTTTAACTACGTCCATCAACTGATGGATGTTGTTACATGTAGGTCCGTGTAGCCAATAAGGCCCTCGGCAATTCAGCTTTGATGGGAAACATCATTTAGACTTCCAGTATTGTGTGTAATTGTTATTTGTGAGGTACGTTACAGCTTAATAAACATCCTTGTCAAATCTGGATACAGTGACTAATAGTGCTTGCCTAAACGGCCAATACTGATGTAGCGATTGTACGTTGTAATCTGAGTGCAGCGGATTTTAAGTAGTCGGGCACAACCCCACCACAGTTTAGAATTGTTCTGATAAATCTTCTTTGTTTTGTTCCTTCTTTTTTTTCCCCGGACAATAATTCTCCGTGCTTTTCTCATAAACGGTTTATAGTATGAACTTGTAGCTTTCAACATATATAGACCTTCATCTCGAGTGGTGCATATTACCCTGACGTCATGATACTTGTACTTGAGCGATTAAAGATTTCTAGATTTAATCTTTGAAAATCAATCTAAAATCAACCGTGAGAGACCTGAACATTTGCGGGAATAAGCCTCTGTACTGATGATGCCACACTTTGTTTACATGTGCACTTTCCTACGGAGCCAGTGGGGGCCCACGGTCCACTGAGCACCATAGGAAAGCACACACGTAAGCGAAGTGTGACGTCATCAGTACAGAGGCTTATTGATAGAATAATCTAGGATCTTCATTTTTTCTGATGTGTGCCTTCCCTCCAGTCCAAACCGGAAGTACCTTATATTTTGAAAGTGGAAAAAGATGTGAACTTCCTTTCAACGATATCAGTCTCTGGCTAGGTTGTACTTTACAAAAAAATGACCGATGATGCCATAAAATGCTAGAGCACGCACTAGCAGCAGGTTAAAAATTTTTTGAAATGAATGCAGTTGATTATTGTGGCAAAGGTTATGACATCAATACATGCGAGCCCGACCACTCTGCGTTACAACTCAACAAACGCGAACCTCTAGTTTGATATGAGCTTTTGACTTAATTGCACCCATTAGTGGCTGACAGGCACTGTTGATTAGTGATAACGTTGGTCTTATTACCAGTCCAATAAATCAAACTGTCAGGCTTGTTTACCCCTCGAACAAGCTTGCTTTAAGCTCCGACATTTTCCAATCATTGTCTCTGCTCACGACATGAACTGTCAAGATCGAACTTCACCCATCTACTTGGAAAGCAGCCTTTAGGAGTTTTTAACAAATAAATTGAGACAATCCCATGAGCCTTTTGTTTCATTTAAAGCATTGATCTTTAAAGAAAACTTTGATCGTTAAAAAAACTGTGTATCTTCTGCTGGAACAGATTTCAATCTAAAAATTTTCTCTTTCCTAATCTTGTGCCAGTGCATACATGTATAAGCAATTAAAAATTGGCTCTTGCAACTCTGTTATTGGAAGAACAAGAAAATTTGTTTGCGTCATTGTGCATTAGTGTATTATTGTCCGCTGTGAGAGAGCCATAAAACTAGATGTAGCTTTACAAAAGTGGTAGATGGAGCATTCTAATATCAGAGTCAAAGCTTTAGGGAAACGGGACTGGTTCTATTTTCAGATGGTTCAAATGTGCATGGAAGCCACGTTCAGGATTAAAGATATAGTCCATCATTTGTAATTTCTGCATTTTGTTCGTTTGAAGCAACAAAAGTGTTCAAAATCTAATGAAGGATACTGAACAACTAACTTGATGAAGTTTCAGCTCAGCTTCAGCTGTATATTCCGACCAAAACAGCATTTTTGGATCTCAATTTCAAATCAAAAGTTGCTGAATCATGTTTTGAATTGTTTTGAATTGCAGCTATACGCGATGTCGCGCACTGATCCGACAAATTATAGCAACCGCGCGCATGTACGTCGTGCCAATGCTTGCGCGTGCTTCACCGAATAACAAAACAAACTACTAATTTAAATTTCCTACGGTGCGTCTTAAGAGGCCGTTGGAAAGGCCTTCTTTCGTTGATTACTTTTAAATGACAGCTTGCCAGAAAAAAATAATTTCACAGGGAGTTTAGTCCACTTACTATCTTTCAACCAAGTATGTTTTTCAACAATAATTACGCCATTTACTTTTTGGATGACTGCAAATGATGGACTATAGCTTTCTCATAAACATGAGTGCTTTATTGAGATAATTACGTGAGATGTACACTTTGTATATATATGTAAGTGTTCACTGTTCAGATTACCCAACAGCTATCTATCCTTGAAATTCTGGAACAATCTTGGCAGTCCATCCCCATGAAACAAGTCCGAGCTGATTCAGGCTTTTCTGGGTGGTAAAAAGTAAATAACCCTGACAATTTGATTGACATGATTGGTAATAAGTCCACATACTTATTACTGATTTCTTGACTGATAACTTGAGGGATTGAGGATATTAAGCTCCCAACAATTATTGATGGGTGTATAGTTTTCAAAGTAAAACTTATCTGAGTGCAGCAGGTTTTTGATAGTATGTTTTTACTTAATTGCACACATCAGTAGATGACAAGCACCGTTAGCAATTTGCTATTGAAGAACACAGTAAGGTCTTAATTACCAATGCAATAACTCAAACCGTCGGGCTTGTTTGCCGCAAGAACAGCCCACTTTATAAGCGCTGACATTTTCCACTCAGTGTCTCTGCCCATGACACAAATTGCTGAGATCGAAATAAAAATCTCAGTGTAAAGTTGTTGCCGCGCTGTGAACACTCACATGCCATGTATTTATCTCGTGATCCTGCTGATTTCTCATAGTGTGAAGAAGTGAATTGATGTTTGTATGATACAGAAGTACAAAACATTAGAAAGTAGAAACAGATATTACCGGTGCCGACGCCAAAGATGCCGGACATCGCAGAGCCAAACTCAATTCTGATCGGGGTTGAAATTTCCCTGGGCATTGTGGGACTGATCGGCAATCTCCTCGTAGCTGTGGCAATCGTCAGGAGCAAGTCTTTGCACAGCCTCACCCACTATTTCCTCCTCAATCTGGCCATAGCCGACAGTCTGGTGTGCGTCACTGGCATTGTAAGCTCCCGGTTTTCCATTTTATATATCGTATGCAGGCAAGATACTTTGAGCTGGCATGCAGTGGCAGCTTATACTTTCTTGAAAAGATGCATTCCAGAGCAATCTGTACTGAGTCTGTTGTTGGTCACATTTGAGCGATACATTGGCATCGTTCATTCTCTCCGACACCGCAGTTTTTTTATGAGGAGAAGAGTCATCGTTCTGATTTGTTTTGTTTGGTTCACGCCAGTCCTCGTAGAAACTCGGCCATCGGTATGGTTACTCCTGAGAATTCAGACACTAAATTGCTCAGAGCCCGAATTTGTATCTAACCCTGACCCCAATCCATACCTTCATGGGATTGGTTTTGTGATTCTGAGTGCCCTACTGCTGTTTGCTGCACCGGCTGCTGCAATGATCTGGATGTATGTTCAGATCGTGAGGGATCTGAAGCAGAGTGCCCGTAGAAGGCAGAATCTGGGCATGCAGGGATGCTACCCTGCTGAGCTACATCGGGCCAGGCAGAGGCTCACCCACACCCTGCTGCTGGTCACCGCCGCGTTCCTGGCGCTCATTCTGCCAGAAAGGGTCGTGTCTTTGGTGGCCACGGCCATCTTCAACAACACATCATCAGAGTCATATGGCATTGCCCTGCAGTGTGCGGTAATTTTATCCCTGATCAACTCTGCAATCAACCCTGTCCTGTATGGTCTCAAGTACGACAGATTTCAGCAGGCGATTGTATCCACCTTCTGCTGTCGGTCGAACACTGCCGTGAACCAAAGCAATCCACATGCGAAGATGAATGTTCAACCATTAGCACCACCACAGTTAAGAAAACTCAGAACTTCGCCGATCTACTGCGAAACTAGCGTTTAGGGTGACATTTTTGTGTCGCCTTGATAAAGGTTTAGGAGACACGAACCAGTCCTAAATTCTGTTTAACCGTACATGTATGTAGCGTATGTGTGTTAAAGTTTTTGGAATTACTCTCTTTTCCTAACTATTTACCCGAATTCCATAAAAAACTTGGACACGAGGGTCATTGATTAGCAAATATAATGTGGGAAAGTTTTCGGATCAAAGGTCATAGTGAAAGGTCAACTGAGGTGAATAATGATGTAATTCACAGTTTTTTGAAAAGTTTACAACATTGTTCAAGCTTAAATGGATTTTGATGAAACCTTCTTGTACATAGATGCAGTGACCCTTGGGTGGGAAGACTCAATTCTTCATCGGATTACTGAGGTCAAATGTCATGAAGGGGTCGTAAGAGGTTATTGTTCAAAATATGCTTCAAATGTTTCTTTGTCTACAGAATTTGTTGACTTAAATGTCACTTGGATGGAGTGATCCTTGGGTGGGGTTCATCACAACTCTTCCGAAATTGGGGGTCAAAGGTCATCCAGGGGTCATTTGAGGTCGTTTACAAATGCTCAAAATGGGCCTTTTTTAAGAACACTTATGGGGATCGGCTGCGGTAACATGGCGACACATGTGATCCGCGGATCACTTGTTTAACACTTTTATAATCAATCAATCCACAATTTCATGCAGGAATGAAATTTTACCGTTAATACCGGTACCTTCTGGTGCCAAACTTGCAATTTACAAATATTTCTTGCGTTTAAAGGGGCACTAGGTCCTGAAATCCCCGAAAATTTCATGTTTTGGATTGTTAACTCATATCCTATTTCAAACATGTGGTTGAAAGGAAACCAACCTAATGTCTTACCGTTCCCTAGAAAAGACGAAAAAAAACAACCGGTTGTTTACATCGGACACGACGGAGTACGAATATGTTTTTCGTGTCGTTCTCATAAAGTGTACGATATACACATTCTGTGTCTCGGGAACAGCGGTGACCAATCACGAATACAAAAAAATTGTGGTTTCTTCAACGTCCGCAAAAGGCGAGCACTTAACGCATACGAATGAAATCACAACTAGCACCCAAACGGCTCGAATTTATGGGGTCGCAAAAGTGGACCCCGAAATTCGTTCTTGCACACATAATACAGGAATAACACAAAAACGCCCTTTTTTTAAAGGATAGTTGTGTGGATGTTTCTATCCTAGTTTTTAATGTTCTGTCCGGTTAATATAATCTCGTTCAAAGTGCGTTTTGTAGCCCAATTGGGCCGTTCTAGGACCTAGTGTCCCTTTAATGACTGGAAACATTCTGACTTTTTAAGGCTGTAAAAAAAGTAGATGTAGTTATATTCACTCGCTTTTTTTGATGCGTATGCATTTAAGTAGTTAAGTAGTTACGTCTGCACTCTTGCAACTTTGTTCTTGGAAGAACAAAAAAGTGTTTCTGTCATTTTCCAAAAGTGTGATACATTGTCTACTGTCATGACTGTACTATGAAAAGAACTGTAAAACTACATTAGAAAAAGTGATCCGTGGAGCATAGTAATTTTCACAATCAGAGCCGAGGGCAAATGGAACTGATTCTATTTTTTAATGGTTCAGATGCATTCTGAAGCTAGTGAGACTCACGACCATGAGAAATCTCTAGGTTGGTGTGCTATATTGAACTCCAAACATTTATTGATGAGTGTGGTTGACTCAAAGTATATAAAGTCTTTGCCTTGGTATTTATGTTTTCAGCATATCCACTTATTGCTTGCCTAAGTTGCCAATACTGAAGCATCAAGTTTTCATTATGGTCCGAGCGCAGCCCTTTTCTGAGATTAACTTTTGAATTTTTAATTGCATCCATCAGTAGATGACAGGCAGTGTTAGCAATTTGCTATTGAAGAACACAGCAATAATATTGGTCTTATAACCAACCAATCAATCAAACTGTCAGGCTTGTTTACCCCCAAAATGACGTGATAAACCTATGACGTTTTCCACTTAGTGTCTCTGCTCCTGCTACAAATTGCAGAGATTGATATAAAACTCTCAGTTGAAAGTTGTTGCTGCACTGTGAATGCTCAAATGCTATGTATTCATCTCATGAACCTGCTGATTTCTCATAGTCTGAAGGAGTAAAGTGATCTTTGTATGATACAGAAGTACAAAACAGTAGAAAGTAGAAACAGATATGGCTCTACTGACAACACCAGCGTCGACCCAACAGATGCCGGACATCTCAGAGCCAAACTCAATTCTGATTGGAGTTGAAATTTCTCTGAGCATTGTGGGACTGATCGGCAATCTGCTCGTAGCTCTGGCAATCGTCAGGAGCAAGTCTCTGCACAGCCTCACCAACTATTTCCTCCTCAATCTGGCCATAGCCGACAGTCTGGTGTGCGTCACTGGTATTATAAGCTCACAGGTTTTATTTGTGTCTAGCATATGCATACAAGATACTATGTGGTTGCTTGTAGTGGCTGCTTACACTTACTTGAAGAGATCTTTTATGGAGCAATCGGTGCTGGGACTTCTTTTGGTCACCTTTGAGCGATACATCGGCATCGTTCATTCGCTTCGTCATCGCAGTTACTTTACCAGGAGAAAGGTTGTGCTTCTTCTTCTTATTGTTTGGTTCATGCCTCTCTTCTTCGAAGCTTGGCCATGGGTTTGTTTTTTTGTGCTAAGACGGACGCTAAACTGTACAGAGTCTGGTTCACTCGTAGATGACTGGAGTGGCCCGGTTCATGATCTGTTTTTTGCCGAGATTGTTTTTGTGATTGTGAATAGCCTTGTGCTGTTTGCTGCACCGGCCATCGCGATGATCTGGATGTACGTTCAGATCCTGAAGGATCTCAGGCAGAGCGCCCAGAGAAGGAAGAATCTGGGCATGCAGGGATGCTACCCCAATGAGTTGCATCTGGCCAGGCAGAGGCTCACCCACACCCTGTTGCTGGTCACCGCCGCATTCCTGGCTCTCATTCTACCAGAGAAAGTTATCTATTTTGTTGCAATGATCATCTTCAAGGACACATCAACAGAGCCATATGGCATTGCCCTACAGTGTGCGCTAATCTTATCCCTGATCAACTCTGCGATCAACCCTGTCCTGTATGGTCTCAAGTACGACAGATTTCGGCAGGCGATAGTATCCACCTTCTGCTGTCGGTCAAACACTGCCGCGAACCAAAACACACCAGATGCACAGATGAATATTCAACCAATAGCACTACCGCAATTGAGAAAACTGCGAACTTCACGTATCTTCTGCGAAACTAGTGTTTAGGATTTTATTTTTTTGGCATAAATTTACTTGATCCCTATAGACCATATCTTTTATTTGAAAAGAATAAGCTGTATATCTCATATGTCCACCATGTTCAATTGAAAGATTTCAATTGAACATTATTGCTTTCATTTCATGAAGAAAACATTCTGACTTTTAAGGATGTGAAAAACTAGATGTAGCTATATTCACTTGCTTTTTATTATAGTGATGCACGAAAGCAATAAAAATTGCCCTCTTGCAACTACATTCTTGCAAAAAAAATAAGAAAATTTACATCACTGTGCTGTGGTGTTTAGTTGTCAGGTGTGAAAAAGCTGTAAAACGTCGTTTTCAAAGTGGCCCATGGAGCACTCTAATATCAGAGTCGAACCCGTTGAAAAATGGACATTGTTTTATTTTCAAACTGTTCAAATGTGCATAAAAGCCACACTCGGGAGTTGGTAAGACTCATAAACAATGCTTTATTGAGATAAGTGCATGAGATGTATCGGTATGTAAGTGTTCAGAGTGTGCCAACAGCTATCCATACAACTCTGGAGCCATCTCGGCAATTCTCCCCACTGATTCAGGCTTTTCTAGGAGATAAACAGTAATAAGCCTGATAATTTGATTGATTTGATTGGTAATAAGACCACAGACTTATTACTGCTTTCTTGATTAAGGACTTGGGGGATTGGGGATAATGAGCTCCCTTCATTTATTGATGGGTGTAGTTAAGTCAAAGTAAAGTATTATCTTTGATTTGGAACATATTGACTTATTGCTTGCCAAAATTGCCAATACTGAAGCATCAAGTGCTGCTTATGGTCGGAGTGCAGGAGGTCTTTATATTTGCTTGTTACTATTTAGTTGCCGCCATCAGTAGATGACAGGCAACGTTAGCAATTTACTGTTGAAGAACAGTTATAAATTTGGTTTTAATTACCAATCCAATAAATCAAACTGCCAGGCTTGTTTACCCCTCGAACAACGTGATTAGGCTATGACGTTTTCCACTCAGTGTATCTGCTCATGACCCGGATTGCCGACATCGGCATACAAATTTCAGCAATAAAAGTAGTTGCTGCACTGTGAATGCTTACATGTCATTTATTCTTCTCATGAACGTGCTGATTTCTCGTATGCTGAAGGAGTAAAGTTATCTTCGTAGTTGACAGAAGTACAAAACACTACAAAGTTGAAACAGATATGGCTCTACTGACAACACCAACGCTGACCCGACAGATGCCGGACGTCTTCGAGCCAAACTCAATCCTGATTGGGGTTGAAATTTCCCTGGGCATTGTGGGACTGATCGGCAATCTCCTTGTAGCTGTGGCAATCGTCAGGAGCAAGTCTCTGCACAGCCTCACCCACTATTTCCTCCTCAATCTGGCCATAGCTGACAGTCTGGTGTGCATCACCGGCATTATAGATTCACAGTTTTTCTTTACTTATAACACATGCACACAAGATACTCTGCGGCTTCGTTTAGCGGCAGCCTATGCTTGCTTGAAGAAATCCTCACCAGAGCAATCAGTACTTAGTCTCTTAGTGGTCACCTTTGAGCGATACATCGGCATTGTTCACGCGCTCCGACATCGCAGTTTCTTTACCAGGAGAAAAGTCATCCTTCTGATTCTGCTCATTTGGTTCACGCCTCTCCTCTTGGAAGCTGTGCAGTCCATTTGGTTTCTTGCGCAAATACAGGCGCTTAACTACACGGTCTCCTGTTCAGTCCCAGTTGCCCCAAGCGACCCTGTCCACAATGCGTACCTTCACGCATTGATTTTCTCAAGCCTTAGAGCCCTACTGCTGTTTGCTGCACCGGCTGCCGCCATGATCTGGATGTACGTTCAGATCCTGAAGGATCTGAAGCAGAGCGCTCAGAGAAGGCAGAATCTGGGCATGCAGGGATGCTACCCCAATGAGCTGCATCGTGCCATGCAGAAGCTCACCCACACCCTGCTGCTGGTCACCATCGCGTTCCTGGCACTCATTCTGCCAGAGAA